ATCCTTAGAGTCCACTTTAGTTGATCTCGACTCTACGCCAGTAGAGCCCACTTCTTTTGAACTCGACTCTACACCAGTAGAGCCCACTTCAGGCGTTCTTTTCATCTTTTTAGCCTGCTGACGAGTGGTGATCACATTAACTCGGACCGATTTCCCTGGGTCCCATGGGATATTCTCGATCACCTCTCTCAACATCTGGTACTCAGGCATGTCTTCCACCTTTTCATCAGGCGAGGTATCTACCACTGGCCCCAATACCTCCGGTTCTGAAAACTGCCTCACTGAGTCAACCATAACAGTGTTTACCGTCTTGCCACTGTTACTCTGTCGGTCACTTGAGGTTTCATCGCTTTCGACGCTCCTGGTACCCCCCTGGTTTTCCCCTCGGATCACCAATGGCACCACATCATCAACCTCCTCCTCAAACCTGGCCCAGTTTGAGTGAGCACGCTTACAATATTCACATCCTCCACAGGGTAGGTCTCCAAGGCGCACCCCTGTCCCAAACGTTAAACACTGCCCCGTGTGTCCAGCTCTTGACAGTGCATCCGCGTTTGCATGAAGTCGCCCTGCCCGATGTGATAGAACCATGTTGAACTGCGACAGCTCCTCTAACCATCGCGCCAACTGACCCTGCGGCTCCTTGAACCTCATTAACCAACGTAAGCTCGAATGGTCGGTTCTCACCATGAATGGCCTCCCCAGGAGATAGTGTCTATACTGCCTGGTGAAACGTACAACAGCAAGCAGCTCTTTACGTGTTGTACAATACCGCCTCTGCTCTTTCGTGAGGCCGTAGCTTCCGTAAGCTACAACTTTTTCCTCGCCATCTTGTACCTGAAGCAGCTCTGCTCCAATGGCATACTCGCTCGCATCTGTGTCCAAAATATACTCGCCATCCTGCCTCGGAATAGCCAACACTGGTGGTGAAGTTAATGCTTCCTTCAGTGATCTAAATGACACAGATTGCTCCTCACCCCACTGAAAATTGTTCTTACCAGTCATGGCATATAGTGGAGCAGCGAGTTTGGAAAAGTCCTTGATAAACGTCCTGTGGTAGTTTGCTAGGCCCATAAATTTCTCGACATCCTTTCCACATGTTGGCATCGGCCAATCTCTGACCACCTGGATATCATGCTCCGACATGGCTAAGGTGTCCCCAGTCACTACTCGACCTAGAAACTCGATCTTTCTTTGGAAGAAAGAACACTTCTTCGGCTTTAACTTTAGCCCATACGCTCTAAACCTCATTAGAGCCTCACGCAGATTCTGCAGATGAATCTCGAAACTCGCACCCAGCACCACTATATCGTCCAGAAACGCCAGCACCGTCTTCCATGATAAACCTCGAAAGACCAAATTCATAATTCTGGCATAGGTAGCTGGTGCCCCACAAAGACCAAACGCCATGCGAATGTGTTCATACAATCCATACTTTGTTATGAACGCGGTCTTCTTTCTATCCTCCTCTCGAATGGGTACCTGCCAATAAGCTGAGTTTGCATCCAACTTACTAAAGAAAACGCTACCCGACAAGGTATCCAAACAATTGTCCACCAGTGGCAGTGGGAATACATCCTTAGTGGTAACTTC